AACTTCTTATATATAGAAGAAACTCTTTTCTAGTTCTATAAGGAGTTTAGCTTTCTCTAACTTCTCTAAGACTTAGTATATATAATCCTTATATATCTTCAGATTATCTAAAAAGATTAAAATATTATTAAGGTAAATAACTATAAAGATATTAAGATACTTCTAGAGTACTTAATTAATTATTTATTAGAATATTATAGATATATTTATTAATCTAAAGGGTATAATAAGATACTTATAGAAGCTAAACTTTATTCTAAATACTATTTTCTATTTATCTTCTTCCTTAATTTATATTAGATTATAAGCTCCCTTTAGATCTAGTATAGTAAACTACTATTTACCCTATAACTAATCTCTAAGTTTAGTAATTAGTAGTAAGAGTATCCTGTTCTTATATATAATCTTATTTAGCTATTAATAATTAATAACTAAATAGAGTTTACTATTCTTTTTTAGTATAAATATTATAGGGTATTCTATAGATAAAGTTAATAGTTATATATAGTCTTTTACTAGTATATTATTAATATATTTACAGAGTATTTATAACTAAGGTTCTATAAGGTTATATAATTTATAGAAATTAGATTCTTCTTCTTTAATAATAGAGATTTTATAATCCTACTAGCTATATTCTAATAGCCCTATTTTAAGTTCTTCTATAAATAATATTTTCTTAAAATAATTATATTTCTATAGAATATTCTTAAGATATTCTTCCTATCTTAGATACTTAGCTTATTTATACTTATATTAGATATTCTTTTCCTTATTCTATTATATCTTTTATTAATTATTTATTCAGCTTTATTCCTAAATTCCTATATTAAATAGTTTTAGAGATAGTTTTTCTATTTCCTTTTACTATTAACTATATTTAATCTTATATTCTTATTATTATTCCTTAGTTAGTTATTTCTAATTAATAAGTACTAAATCTATATCTAAGAGCAGTTCTTACTTCTATATTTAGCCTAAGATTTATATTATTTATCTTAGTTCTTATTATAATAGATTCTTTATTATACTAGATTATAGTACTATTAAAACTAATACTACTATATCTACTTATTATTATAAGTTATTATAATTTTTTATAGTAGTACTTTTAGATATTAAAAAGTAAATATATTTTTCTAATATCTAATAAAATTTTAATTTTTATTAATCCTGATATTAATATATAAAAGTATTCCTCTACTCTATCTAGCTAGTATACTAATTAATTAGTAAGTTTATATCTTAAAGCTATAGTAATCCTAATATAACTTTATAGTTTCCTAATAGTACTAGATTATAAGTAATATTAAATTTTTTTCTTTGGATTTTAGTTATAAGATAATTAGTCTTAGAATTAATAATCCTATTATTATACTTAAATTTTAAATCTTTAATATTTATAACTATATAGGTTTCTTTCTTCTTTCTCTATAGTAGGTAGAATTAGTTAATTACTACTAGTAAGATATAATTTTCCTATACTCTATAGTTAATAAATACTATAAATTAGTTCCTCTTAATCTCTACTTCTATAAGGATATATATAGAGCTTCCTGCTTCTATAGCTCCTAGGGTTCTCTAATCTATTATTAATATTACTCTATACTATAGCTCTATTATAGATAGTTTAAATTATTTTTTACCTAGTTAACTTATTTATTAAGTTATTTCTAATTTTTATTATTCTTAAGTACTTATTTAAAAATATTCTTAAAAGTTTCTAGTTCTTCTATATAGCTAAAGATATATTTTATAAATCTAATCCTCTAATTATATAGTTCTTTAACTATTAGGAGTATTTTATTATTAGAGTAGGCCTTATTCTATTTATTTTTATTAGTTAAGATTATTCTTTATTCCCCTATTTTACTACTATTCTTACTATCTATAAGAGATAGTTATCCTCTTAAGCAGTATTCTTATAGTTCTTCCTCCTATAGCTATTACTATTTAAGATAAAGTTTAATAGTATTTATATTATTATTATTATTCTATACTAGTACTAATACTTCTTACTTAATCTCTTAGTAGTTTCTATAATTCTAATTATAGTATTATTTAATATAGCTATTATACTTATATATTACTTAATCCTCTATCTATTAGTAGTTATACTATAGCTTAATTTTATTATTTTTATAAATCTTATATTCCTATTCCTAATATAACTCTACTAGTAGTTTCCTGTTTATATACTTAGTAGGGTATTTCTATAGGTTTATCTTAAAAATAGTATATAGTTCTATTCTATAGTATTAGTTAGTAAATTATTATATCTAGATTATAGTATATTTTCTAGATATTCTTCTATCTGGAAATAAAAAGAAATTATTTACTACTTTTTCTTACTAATATATAGTATACTATATATTATAATATATTATCTAAGATTCCAGCTTATAGTTATATTCTTTACTAGTTTTTATATAAGTTAGATTATTATACCTATTATTAAGGTATTATATAGTATTTATTATATCTCTCCTATATAGTACTATTCTGAATATCTTTTTAAGATCTGGGTTTTATATTTATATTTTCTATTAATAGTAGATATAGAGTTTATTATATTTAGTTTTAATTTCTTCCCTAGTAAATATATACTATTCCTATTCCTCGGAGGTATATTTAATAAGTTTATTAATATAGTAGAATATATACTTATATTTAGTAAGAGGTCTAAGGTCTATAATATCCCTCTTATTCTTATATTTCTATTTAAGTTCTCTAAAGATATTTATAATATATTAGTAGTTTCCTTCTAATACTATTAATACTTTACTGGTTTCTAGTATCTTATAGAATTTTAGTATAGATTATCTGGAAAGTATAGAAGTTATAGTAGTTATATAGTCTCTTCCCTAGATATCCTTTCTAATTATTCTAAGTATCTTAGTTCTAGTTTTTCTAGTTACTCCTAATTATTTTTTATCTTCTTTAGTAGATTTCTAGTTTTTCTATTTCTTAGGTTTTAGATACTAGGGTAAGATATATCTAATCTTATTATAATTATAATACTTATATTTTTCTATAGCTCCTAGCTCTATAGGATCTATATATATTCTAGAGACTATAGATTATTATTACTATTATAATCAGCTAATATTAGAGTAGTAAGTTACTTTCTTACTATAGGTTTACTAGTAATACTATTAATTATTAATTCTTATAGCTATAGTTATATATTTATAAATACTTATTAGCCTATCTTCCTTATAGAGTTCCTTCTGAACTTCTTCCTTTAGTCTATTAAAATAGTAAGATATAGTATACTCCTAATTCTATCTAGTTTTTACTAAAAACTAGAGGTATTTACTACTAAAGGTAAAGATAGGTTTAGTCTGAGAAAGTTTATTAATTTTATATTTAGCCTTATATCTCTTATTTTAAATTCTAAAGATTTATTAAAGAACTTCTATAAAATAGTTAAAACTTATTATAATATTAATAGTTTATTAGCTTCTTTAACTATTAAGATATTCTTTTATAATAGATTTAAACTAATTAAGTATAGCTCCCTTAAGTTATAAGTAGATATAGATAACTTACTATTTATTATTATTAAGAGTAATAGGGAAATAGTTAAAGTATATTTATAGTTAGATTATAAAGTCTTAAAGCTTATCTTAAGTTCTATTAAATATCTCAGATAGTAGTAGCTTAAGTAGTATTTCTAGTTCTCTTTCTTAAGTTATAATCTGAGCCTAAGCCTGAAGATTAGTATTCTAAGTAGCTTACTATCCTATAAGGGTAATAGTAGTAGCTATTTCTTATTATATAGTTATAAAGTATTTCTAAAGTTAGAGAACCTACTCTCTAAGGAGTTTAACTTCTACTCTATAGTTACTATTATTACTATTATTATCTTTATCTATAGTATCCTTAATATATAGAGCAGATAGATAGTTAGTAGTAGATATAGTATACTATTAAGCTTATAGAACTATAGTAGTTATAATATTTTCTTTATTATTATATAGTAATTAAGATAAGATAATTAGCTAAATAAGAGTTATTAATATATAATAGTTAGATTAACTTATACTAGATAAGTCTAGGATAGATCAGGGTTAAACTAATTAGAGTATTATTCTAAGTAGTATAATTAGATTATCTTAGACTATATAATATAAGTTACTATTAATATATAAGTATTATAAAGCTAGTAATAATAGATATATAGATAATATTATTAATAACTATCTAAAGGAGTATCTAAGCTATAGAAATAAATTTAGATATATAGTAAGGCTATTACTTATCTGTTACTTACTTATTACTCTGCTAGAGTAATGGGCTGTTCTTTATTAGCTAGTTCCCTGGCAGGTCCTATGCCTATATATAACTTTATACGGCCTGGAGGCCTTTGTTCGTAATAGTAGTTAATCTAATCTATTATAGTCTTTTTACAGACTAATTAGTATAGGTTAACTAATAGCTATAAAGTAAGAAGTAAATAATTATTTAAAGTAATTAATTATATTATAGATAAAGAAGGGAAAAAGCTATCTCTTATATAGTCTAACGGAAGGTTCATCTTAGTAGATAACTGACTTATTAACTTATCGATAAGTTGATAAGTCGGGATGACGTATCCACACCATTCCTATATATACTATTGGCTTTTCAATTAGCAACCTGCCAAACTTGGCGATCATAAGCAGGGTTTCATTGCATAGTCCATGCATCGGATAGAAATTTTCCGGAATTTGCATTCCGCCTGCGCCCTTCTGTTGCAATTTTTTGACATGGAAATTGACAAGATGTCACAAGGCGCGAGTGGCAAGTGTGGAGGGGCAGGTCTAGGGTATCTCGAGAACTGCGGAATTACATAAACCGCCGATATAGGATCGAATTTTCACAACTCTTGAATAACGACATCGCATCACTACTCGAACAACCCAATTCACTGTCTAAATATCTTTATACCCTCCAATCTCTCACTCGAATTTTCTCAGAAACCCACTGTGTCGATCCCACCTACAAAAACCCCCACAATGCCTCACCCCGTCACCCCCGTCTCCCTCACCTTCCGCAAAGCCCTCCCCGCCGACGTCCCCTCCATCCTCAAGCTCGTCCGCTCCGCCTACCGCGGCGAGTCCAGTCGCTCCGGCTGGACAACAGAGGCCGATCTTGTCGCCGACGAGCGCATCGACGAGGCAGGCGTCCTCCGCAAGATCGCCGAACCCAACGGCGTCATCCTCCTCGCCTACGACGAGGCCGGTGCGCTCGCGTCCTGCTGCGAGGTCCTCAAGCGGGACGACGGCGACCTCGCCTACTTTGGCCTCTTCGCCGTCGACCCCCTACGCCAGGCGGGCGGGATCGGGAGGCAGGTGCTCGCGCGGGCGGAGGAGCACGCCAGGGAGGTGTTTGGAGTGAAGAGGCTCGAGATGTGGGTTATCTGGACCCGGGAGGAGCTAATCGAGTGGTATGTGCGCCGCGGGTACACCAAGACGGAGGAGACGGCGCCGTTCCCCTACAAGGAGCTCGTTAATGGGGAGGCGCTGCGCGACGATTTGCATTTCCGCGTCCTGGTGAAGGATCTGTAGCGGGGTCGGTGTCTGTTATTCATGTTCGGTTCTAGGGAGTTGTTCGTTTGGGCTTCGTGGAGTTTTCTGATCGGGGGCGTGTTGTATGCTTGGTGGGCTTTCTGTATATGTTTTGCTGACTCGTTTGGTTCGGCATCGTGGAAGTGAGATGGGGCTGTTGTTTTCTGAACAAGCTCGCTCTGGGGAATAGAAGGGGATAATAGAATTGTAGACAATAAATGATCGAATACACCTCTATTCATGTTTCTTTCCTGTTGAAGTAGAGATATGAGGTTGACGGCTGTCAGCCTTTGAGGGCGATCTTACCTGATTATGGCCACCTCCCGGCCTCTTATTGGACCTCGAGCTGCCAAGGCATCTGCCATCCCTGCTCTTTGTTATGTTCAGAGTAAGCTGCCAAGTCATTTCACTTGCGCAGAGTTGGCAAAGGTAGGTTGGAGAAATGCTGCAATTATTTTACTACTAAACTATTAAGGCTATGTGACGGGCAAGCGTGCCCGAAACTAGTATAAATACACACTATTTTAAATATAAGCTAAAGAGCGTCCATGTTTTCATGCTTTTCTTTTTGGGTAACGAGTGTCTTTTGAATAAGAGAAGGGATGCGGCTTGCCGAGCCCGTCTATGAGATGGCCGCGCAAACATTGAGCAAGGGGGCACAGATGCCGACCACACAGTTGGGCTGGGGGAAGTAGCAATTCTGTCCCGTGACCTGGGCGCACACGTTGACGAGCGGCAGGCAGGTTCCGGATCCGCAGGAGCCAGAGGTGCACGGCGCGCCGAGGCTGTTGGATGAGCAGGTGTTGGTGCTCGTGTCGCAGGTCTGGCCGGTGGGACACTGCCACGACGCGGTGCAGTAGTTGGTATTCTGTGTGCATCTGTTGGAGGCGAGGTTGCATGTCTGGCCGTTGGGACAGGTGACGGTAGCGTCGCAGTAACCGATGATCTCGTCGCACTGGTTGTCGGTGAGATTGCACTTGGTTCCCGGGCCACAGTCCGAGTCTTGGCTGCAGTAGCCCTGGATGGCGACGCATGAAGGTGCGTTACACTGATATCCCGAGGGACAGTCGTTGTTGACAGCGCAGGGGCCGCTGGTCGACTCGCATTGGTTCAGTCTCAAGTTGCAGGCTTGGGCCCCCGTGGTGCAGTCGCCGTTTGAAACGCAGAACTGGGTGATGTCGGTACATTGGGACAGAACGGTATTGCAGTTCTGACTGACAAGACAGTCCTGTTTGGTGGTGCATGACTTGGGAGTCGTGGAACACGTGTTGCCAGCGCAGTACTGGCCGGGTGGGCAGTCTCTCGTCGCCGCACAGTAACTGCTGCCGAGTGTGCAGACGCCGTTGACACACGTCTGGCCTGCCGGACAAGAGTATGTTGGGGAACAGTATCCTCCTATCGGCGTGCAGATGCCACTGGAACCGGGCGCACCTAGAGCACAGTAGGCGTTTACACCGCAGCTGGCATCGTTGTAGCAGACGCCGTCGGGATTGTAGCAGACATTCCGTCCATAGTCGCAGACCTCGGTGATCTGGGGACAGGGCACGGTCGAGCTGCAGTATCCCTGGATTGGCTCGCAGGCGTTTGTGCTGGAGCACTGGTTGCCGGCGCCGCAGTCTGTGCTGGACACGCAGAAGCCCTGCTGCAGGGCACATCGGCCACCCGATCCACAGATCTGGCTAACGGGACAATCGCCAGGGCCTGAACAAGTGATGGCAGTGCCTGTGCAAGTGTTCCCTTCGCACTTGGTGCCCGCGGGACAGCCAAAGTTGGAGCTGCAGTACTGAGGATTGGGGACGCACTGGTTCCTGGTCGTGTCGCAGGTCTGATCTGCGGCACAGTTCGAGGCCTGGGTGCAGTATCCCTGGATGTTCTCACAGCGATTCACATTGAGCTGGCAGAACTGCCCAGTCGAGCACTGAGAGTTGGCGCTGCAGTATCCTGAGATGAGGGCGCATTGGTAGTTTGCTGGATCACAGAACTGGTTGGGAAGGCAGTCTGTCGACGACGAGCAGAAGCCTGGGGTCGTGGAGCAAACGTTGCGTCCATTGCTCGTGGCGGTCACGCCGCAAGTTTGTCCAAGAGGGCATGTGCCAGCCGCGGTGCAGCCACTGTTCGGTTGACATTCGCCCGTCGCCGTATCGCAAGTGTACCCGGTGTCGCAGGCTCCTCCAAACGGCGGTGGGCAGTAGTCCACGAGGACTGTACAGCGCGAGTCGGCAGTGTTGCACGTATACCCAGCGGCACATGGATAAGTGGCAGTACCGTCGCAGTACAACGGGGTGTTGCTGTTGGAATCGCAGATGCCATATTCTGAACATGACTGGCCGGTCGGGCACGGAACGTCTGCGGAACAGTACTTGGGGACAGGAGCACACAGCTTGGTGTTCTGATTGCAGTAGGTGCCCGCTGCTCTTGCGAGACACTCAGAGTCCTGGAGACAGAACCCAGAGATTGGAACACACCCGCCACTCTGGCACGATTGGCCAAGAGGGCAAGGGCCAGAAGTGCCGCAGTAGCCATCAGAAGGCCGACAGAAGTTGTTATCACAATAGTTGCCCTCCCCACAATCGACGTCGGATTGACAATAGTTGGGGATGGGTCTGCAGACGTGGGTGCCGGCAAGATCGCAGTAATACCCTGTGTCGCAAGTATTGCCCGCGCCGGTGTAGGCAGTGCAGTAGCCCGCGATGGTCGTGCAGGTAGATGTGATCTGATTGCAGAACTGGCTTGGATCAGGGCATGGGACACTGTTGCTGCAGCTGAGAGACGTGGTGTCGGGATCTGTGCAGACGTTTGACACACACGTCTGAGGTGCCGTGCATGGATTCGTCGCGTCACAGTAGTTGGGATCTCTGCAGATATTGGACACACAAATCTGGCCTTGAAGGCAGAGCTTGTTGGCATCGCAGTAGCCGTCAGGATACACGCACACATTCAACGAGCTGCAAGTCTGGCCCGGAATAGTGCATGGCGTGTTGGCGTTACAGGCGGCTCCCACCTGGCACGTGTTCGCGGTGCAAGTCTGGCCTACAGGGCATGGCGTATTATCATCGCAATAGGTGTTGGATACGCAGAGGTTGGACACACAGTTCTGGCCTGGGGTAGTGCATGGAGTGGCATTATCGCAATATCCTGGGGTCTTCTGGCATCTACCTGACTGACATTGTTGGCCAGTTGGGCAGGTAGTGTTTGCATCACAGTTCTGCGTACAAGCGTTGGCTTGCAGGTCGCAGGACTGAGTTGGGCTGCAGTCTGCGTTCCTCTGACAGAAGCTCGCCGACGCAACGCACATGAATCGGTCTTTGTTGCAGGCCTGGGCAACAGGACAGTCGCTATCGCTACCACAACCGCGCGGAGCTGTGGGCTCGCACACGGAGGTGACCGGGTTGCATGCCTCAGTGCTGGAGCAATCGGATGGAGAGCTGCACTGTCTGGTTGTAGCGCTCGAGCAGATGCCGAACTGGGTGTTGCAGGTAGTGCCGGCAGCAGAGCAGTCGCTGTTCGATGAGCAGGCAGTAGGACCAGTAGCAATGCAAGCGTTCCTCGAGAGTAGACAGAACTGGCCACTGCCACATTGGCTGTTGTTCTGGCAGGTGGAAGTTCCACCAGGGATACATGTGTTGGTCTTGGAATCACAGATATTGCCAGTACCGCAGTCAGTGTTGACCTGACAGTTGGGAGCTGCTTTGCACACACCATCTGTTCCGCACCTCTCACGAGACGGGCAGTCGGTGTCAGCCGTGCAGTTCACAGATCCAGCAACGCAAATGTTGCCATATGCTTTGGAGCAGGTCTGTCCGGTAGGGCAATTGGCATCCGCAGTGCACGTGGTAGGCGTTGTGGTCGTGCAGGTACCCCGGGTGCAAGTCTGGCCACTTGGGCATTGGGCGTTTGTACTGCATACGACGGGTTGCCTGGGCTCACAGACGCGCAGATTGGTGTTGCAGTTATCCTGAGCAGGACACTCTGCGCTGGAAGTGCATCCGATAGGCCCATTACTTTCACATGTCTTTGTCGTCTGGTTGCAAGTATTTCCGGCAGGGCAGTCGTAGTTGATGACGCACCCGGAACTGATACACTGACCGTTGAAGCCGCACGTCTGACCTGATGGACATTGGGTAGAACCAGTGCAGCTAACCGGTCCGGCCACGCAGATTTGGTTGACGGAGTCGCAAACCTGCCCAGTTGAGCACGAAGCAGTCGATGTACAGGTAACTGGAGCCGTGGTCTGGCAGACGTATTGGCCCGTGTTGCAATTTGAGCCGCTTGGGCAGTCTGTATCCTTACTACAAGAAACTGCGTCCGTCGATACGCAGATCTTGTACTGCGAGCTACAGCTGAAAGCATTGGGGCAGTCTGCAGAAGACCTGCAGCCGATAGGTCCGCTTGACTGGCAAGCCTTGGTCTGCGTGTTGCACAGGTTGCCAGTTGGGCAGTCGGTGTTGGTGCGGCATCCGGAACCGACACAAGCGCCATTACTACATTGGTTGTTTGATGGGCAGTCAGAGTTTGCGGTACAAGTGGCAGCCGCGGCAACACAGATCTTGTACTCAGGATTACAAGTCAGCCCTGAGAAGCATTCAGCGCTGGACTCGCACCGCTGGGGCGTAGTGGTCTGGCATACTCCGAAGAAACTGTTGCAATTCTGTGCACTTGGGCAATCAGCTGCCGAGGTGCAAGAGACAGTATCCTTGGGCTGGCAAACATGCAGCGAGGTATTGCAGTTGCTGTCACTAGGGCAGTCTCCGTTACCGTTACAGATGGTAGGCCCAGGAGACACGCAGCTCCTCGTGCTCTGGTTGCAGTAATTCCCACTAGGACAGTCGTTGTTGACCCGGCATTGAACGGGGTTGCAGAAACCGTTGGAAGCGCATGTCTCGCCAGAGGGACAGTCAAACGTGGTTTGGCAGCCCGTCGCGGCGGCGACACAGATGCCAAACTGCGAGTTACATACCTGCCCGTTAGAACAGTTGCCATCCTGAGTGCATCTGACAGAA